CTCCTCCTCCATCTGTCTCCTCCTCCTCAATCTGTCTCCTCCTCCTCAATCTGTCTCCTCCTCTTCAACAACCTGGACTTCCTTCTGTAATACTTCAACTTCTTTTCTTGATTCTGCAGCTACAGTTTCTGCTTCAGCTGTTTGTTTCAGTTTCTGTGGTCAGATCCAAACCAACACCTTCATCCTGCTGAACCTGTTCCATGAGGACAAGTCCAGAACCAGAGCCAAGGGTCCGGTTTGGACTTACTGTAATCTTTGGTTAACTGAAAATGCCACTAACTTTGAGTCCTGCTGAATTCTGATGGAGAAGAAACGGATCATCTGGACCACACTCCAAATAAATATAACAAACTGAAGGCCAGGTCCAGAACAGAACCAGACCTGGATTTACTGCAGCCAGGTCCAGGACCAGAACAGAACCAGACCTGGTTTTAGTGCAGGGGCCCCTGAGGGCCTCATCCTCTGAGCTCAGGTTTCTTCAGATTCTTTTAATCTGTGGATCAGATTATGATCTGGAGATGATGGAGATTAAAGTCTTTATTCAGGACCTTTATTCTGAAGTGTTCCCGTAGTCTTCGACAGACCTCTTAACCTCTGCCCATCTTTACTTCTCTCCGGTGTCTGAGCTGTAGATCAGTTACTGAAGGCATCTCCAGCCCTGGAGCAACCTGTTCCTGACGTCTGGAGCACGTCCTGCTGCCATCAGAGTCAAATTTATCACATTTCCCCTAAGATGTTTCAGTTTGTCCAGTTTCACCAGTTTGGTGTTTCACCAGTTTGGTGTTTCACCAGTTTGGTGTTTCACGGTGAATAAATCTTCAGACTGGAATCTCTTCTGGTTCTTTAACGGAGAACGTTTCCTAAAAACTAAAACTTTGTTTCCATAAACACATCAGAGCTAAAAGAAGATTTTCCTGACCCAGAGCCTTGTGGGCCTCCAGACTCGGACTGAGACCTGGTCCTGGCTCGGTCCGTCCAGCTGGTTCAAACATGTTCACAGGTCCAGAGGTCCTTGTCCTTCTCCTGGAGGAGCTTCTGGGAGGATGGAGTGTTGGTTTGAGTCTGGACGTCAAGGGACACCCAGATCCCGGTCTAGATCCGGTCTGTGTGTAACCCTGCTTCTGTCCTTCGTGCTTTTTGACCCCTGCGAGGCTCCGTATCTCCCCCCGTATCTTGTAGGTAGCATCTCTGGAGTGCATCTTCGACGGTTCTTCGTTAAGACGCCTCCCCTCGGAGCTCCCCTCCCCCACGCCCTCAACTCTCTACCCCCACGGGGAGGACAGCCCCCTCCCCTCCTGTTCCTCCAACCCCCCCCCCCCACCCGGGGTAACCCCCCCCCCCCCCCCACACCCACACACAGTTTCCGTGTTCACATTAGATCCTGACAGCGATCAGACAGGAGACGTCAAAGGACTGGACGCTCAGGTTCGAGTCGTCTTTGTCTTCAGTTGGTTGTTTCACAGACCTCAGGTTGGGGGTGTCAGAGACGACTCCTGCATCTCTGTTTGGGTTTTAAGGTCTCCATGGTGGTTGTTGGGTCGAAGGTCATCAGGACCCCTTGGGGTTGCTGGTTTATTTAAATAGAATCAGGACTGTGTGCTAGAAACCAGAACCAGATCTTTAGACCTAGATCAGAACCTTCTTCATCACTGAGGTTCCTCGGGTTCCTCTGTGTTTCAGAGTCAGTTTCTTTGTCATTCGCACCTCATGTGGTACATGTGGTGGAATGAAATTATGTTCACATGGTCCCAGTTACATCCCACAATAAAATGTAAAAGAAAAACAGTAATAACATGTAATAAAAACATCTAAATATACACCAAGCACTAACAGCTGCTCGTCAGCAGCCGCCTCCGTCCTGAAACGATCGAGAGGACGCCGTGCGCTCGTTCATTATCCATCCTCATCGCTCCGCCGCGCTGTCATCGCCATGGCAACGATGGAGATGAATATGGCAAGAAGATTAGGGGGGGGCTGTCCTGCAGAGGACGGATCTACTGAGGCTGTCAGGAGCAGGATGTGTGTGTGTGTGTGTGTGTGTGGGGGGGGGGGGGGGGGTAGTAAAAGTGAAGATTTACTGTAACTCTGATATAAATTTAGCCTCCAAGCTCCTCCCCCTCCATCGTCCTGCCTCCAAACTGATCTTCAGCCAGAGCGAGTTTCACGGACAGGACCCGTCCGGTTTCAGAGAAAACCTGACCTGAGGGCGGGACGTGTCTAAGTGCTGGAGATGTCTGAAAAATCAGGAAAACTTATGAAAAACAACAAACTTCCTGTTTTATTAGGAGACTTCTGGAGCTCCACAGATCAGTACAGACACATTAAACACATTTTTATACAAACCGGATTCCAAAAAAGTTGGGACACTAAACAAATTGTGAATAAAAACTGAATGCAATGATGTGGAG